GACACATGGAAAACAGGGTGGACCTTCATTGTGGGTGGGAGACGTAAACAATAAGTGACCGGATTGATTCTGCCGTGATTTAATACGGGCCAATAAACCTGCGAGTGAGCTTCTTGGCTTCAGTACGGAGTTTCAGGTGTCTCGTGGAGAGCCAGACCCAGTTCCCTGGTTGAAATGAATGGCCTGGCCGGTGTCGGCAGCGATGTTGTTTGGTGTATTGAGCATTGCATCAAGAAATAGCAGCCCATGCCTCGATCCAGGCCAGTCGACATCGACAGACCAACCACTGGGCTGCAGGTACTTAAACCTCTGCCTCCTGGTGATCAAAGATAGGAGGGTGAAAGCCATGATAAATTTCGAAGGGAGAGAGACCGGTAGAGAAAAAGATGTAGAGGTTGTGAGACAGCTCTGTCTACAACAGCTGGGCCAAAGAGACGGTTGGACGGAGATGAATCATCTCAAAAAGCGTCCCAGTTGTTGGGCGGCCCCTTCCGCCTGCCCATTAGACTAAGGGTGGTAGCCAGACCTGAGACTGGAAGAGGCCCCAATCAGACTGCAGAAGACCTTCCAGAAACTAGCGGTGAATCGGGGTCCCCTATCAGAAACGTTAGCTAAGGATGAGAGGAGAGGATGCAGCAGAGACCACGAGAAACTGGATCTACTCCTAGTGGTCCCCGATGGACATGCGAACTGGTTGGGTCTGGAACTGAATGGGGTAGGGTTGGAGACGGTGTCCGTCTACCAAGTGACAGGAATAAATGGTTAATTGGGGTTAGCGAAATGTGGAGTTGAGAAGCTAGATTCAGGTCGATGAAGTTTTCAGCCGCTCCTGAGTCCATGAGAGCCTCAAGAGGGAACTGTTTTTGTTTCAGGTGAAACGTTACCTTAAGCTGGAAATGGGAGGGGTCTGAGAAACAGGAGGAGCCAAGTGGGACTCCCCCACAGTCTACCTGGCCACATTGTTTCCCAGACCTAGAGGACACTGGGGGCAGCAATGTTGGGCCAACCCAGAGTACGCACAAAGGCCTTCAGGCAAGCATATATTTCTCTCCACTTTGGATAGCCTGCCCAGCTGCATAGGCTCCTCGGTGGAAAAATTGCTGGTATTAGCAGCTACTCCTTCAGAGGAGGGGGGAGGCGGCGGAGGAATATCTCTCTGAGACTGGGGTTTATAGACCCGAGGAGTGTGACGAGGTGGTGACATAACTCGATGATCAATTTTCAAGGGGAGATCTACAGTCTCGTCCAGAGTCTGCCATCTCCTCTCAGATGTAATCCAGCAATCCCGCCATAAAAAATGACTGGAGAGCAGCATCTCCCCAGTTTAACTTAGCAGCCAAAGTACGGAACTCTGACAGGAAATGACACAATAATTGATTACCCTGACATAAATTAAGTAGATGAGACCCCACCTCCACTTCACTGCAAGGGGGACCCTCCATGAACAGGGCATAATCATTGTAAGCTGGAGACTTGCCATTGTAAATGGCAGATGGCCTGGCCTCTCCCGTCACCTCACCTAAACCCAATCGAGATGGCTTGAGATAAGATGGACTGCAGAGTGAAGGCAAAAGGACCAAGAAGTGCTCAGGATTTCTGGGAACTCCTTCAAGACTGGAAAACCATTTCAGGTGACTACATCAAGTTTATTGAGAGAATGCTAAGAGTGTGTAAAGCAGTAATCAAAGCAAAGGGTGGCTATTTTGATATATATATATATATTAAAAAAAAACACCCAGCATGCCCCTGCGGGCGGTTTATCCTTCAAGCTCGGGTCCTCTACCAGAGGCCAGAGGCC